GAGTTATGAGACAAGCAGAGAAAAGCTTACCCCAAGAAAGGTGGCTGCCAACCTTTGTCCCCAAGGGACAGATCACAAATGCATGAAAGTGTCCCATGAATGCAACAAATACATCTGTCCCAGCCACACACCAAAAGAAGAGAATAGAATCAAAGACCATTCAGACAGTGTGACTAAAGTGTTGTTAGTTACTTGTACAACGATATGTAAATATACACAGGGTTTTGTGCAAAATTATAATACCATTTGTTCTGGGGTCAGTGACTGGCTTCAGTGGTGTTCAGTGGGGACTGAATTGGCACTGGTATGCGACTGCTGTGTTTTCCACACTTAGTAAGTGGAGGAACCTGCGGCCTCGGGACCACATGTGGCCTTCGGGATCCTTGAGTGTGGCCTTTTGGCTGAATTTAAATTTTACAGAACACACCCTTTTACTAAAGGGATTTGTTCTGTGAGGTTTGGATTCACTGGAGGAGCCACACGTAGGTATCTGTTGCATGTTGTACAGTGAGGACTGGAACTATTGAGGATGAGTTCCCAGGGCAAAGAAATACGGTGACCGTAGCATAGGGCACCTATTTCTAGTGACTGAAGAGAAGAGGGTATGGTAAAGGAAAAGAATATGGAGCAGTTAGCGGGGCAGAAAGGACCTGGAGAGTATTTGATTCTGGAAACCAGGTGGCGGGCAGAGGGCGGAGAGCTCCCAGAATGGGGGGAAGGCTCACCTTCTCAGGCTTTTCCTAGAGAATCAGGACGCTCAGTGCTGAGGACAGCCTTTCTTCACTGCATATTGTGGCTGTCTCATTTCACATTCACTCTCACTTCACACATCTGGCTTTAGATCCTGATGGGAATTTAAGTTCCTTGAGGGCAAGGTCCGTGTCTCATTTTCCTTCTGGCCTCTCCACTGCCTGACACAGTTGTGTGCATAGATGACAGGAAATGTGGAAGCTCTCTGCACGCAGATGATTAATCATCACCAGGGTTTTTCCAACAGCACCATCCCTAGTGCCAAAAGCACATTTGTTTAAAACGTGTGCTTAAATTTGAATGAATCTGCCTAAATGCTGCCATCTGTTCTCAGGCAGTTTCAGAAACGTTTGAATACAATTTTACCTTTAAAAGGACAAACGTAAGGCCGTGCCTATGAGACATAGAGTCATCCTTAAGTAAACACAGAGCAGACACCAGTGCATCCAATCACACTTTAAAAGCTCCACATAAAGAATGTTTTCTGAGGTTTAAAGAAGTTTTATCTAAGAGGACACCAACTGCTACTTCATGCAGAAAATATTTATGAGAAGTTGCAAAACTGCAGGCATGGACGTGGACAGCATATTACCGCATTTTAATTACAGACTCCAGAATATGTAATTTTAGTTTATGTAAATCTCATATTCTTCTGCAATGAGTACACTCTTCCAATATTTGTTAATGGTCCACATTTTGTTGTGGTTTCAGCATATTGGTCTTGAAGCTGAAGGCAGCTGTTGAGGCTAGTCTCTGTGTTCCTCGTTTATATTGATTACAGCACTGTAGGATGTGCTGTTGTGTGAATAGAACAGCGAAATGAAACCCGTGTTTAAGTTCTGCAAATAACTTACAGTCACTTCCAAAACACCTCAACTTCGGTTCTAAATTTGAGTTTGCGGTTTTACATGCACAGTTATTTGCCGATCCACTTTAGCACGCAAAATCACACACTGGCTAGGTCTGGGTAGGGTTATTGTGGCAACAAGTAATGGGCAAAATTTTCAGCCTATTGAACTCACCAGCTACATCCTCATCACCAAAACTATGCCAGCATTTTGGCATCTGTGTGTTTTCCTAGTTGGTGGAAATCAACTATGGTATATATCAAGAAATTACATATTTACAGAAGGAATTTCCGATTGAAATCGTATCCAGACATGTTACCCTATCTGTGTACATGTGCATCCATATTGAAATTCTTTGGTTAAATCCTATTTTGCAAAGGTAGAGATCTGAACATATGAACTTACATGAACACTCATTTGGAATATTTTTAGTTTTTTGTTATCTCAGAGGATGACACTGCAAACTTGTCACTTCCGTCTTAAGTCATATTAATTTCTTTCTTGTAAAGGAAAAGGTAAAAACCCCAAAGTACAGAGACAAATGTGAGCAACACCCATGTTTTTACAAACAGGATTTGCTTCTAATGACTTTTATGTAAACGAGTTAGTGTATTGCAGATAAAGCTGAAGTCCCTTTTTTGAGTTTTCTCTTTCATCACTCACTAAGGCAACCGCTATTATTAATTTGCTGTATCCTTCTGGTCCACATTTTTATATTTTCAATGATCTGAGTCATAGCTTCATGAATAAGAGGTTAACATTGCTTTTTGATTATATAAATCCTACCATCGTGTTCATATTATTCTTTAATTTGCTTTTTTTCCTCATCATTCTATTTAGAAATCTGTCCATCTCAATCTTTCCAAAAGTTGTTTCATTTTAACTTCTCTGTGGTTTGAATTATCCCAGCTTATTAATTTTTTCTGACACAGATGTCCATTTAGATTGTACATCTTACTCCAATTTTTTGCTATCCCAAATAATACTGCAGTGAATGTCTTTATATAATGTCTCCTAGTGTACCTGCCTGAGAGTTGTCCTTACATACCCAGTAGTCTATCGCTGGCTTGTAGTTGACATGTATTTGCAACTTTGCCATATATTGTCAAACTGCTCTCAAAAATTTTTCTCAATTCCTGTTTTCACCAGTAGTATATAAGAGTTATCATTTCCTTATATCTTCACCAACACTTGTTTTTTTAGACTTTAGTAGCTAAAATTTTGCCAGTCTGGTGGGTGTGAAATAGTCTAATCTGTGGTTCTAAGTTATGTAGTCCTGTTTGTTTATGAATCTGATCGTTTTTTCCAAATATTTATTAACCACTCCCAGTTCTTTATGAGTTGCGTATTCATATCCTTTGCCCATTTTTTTCTGAGTTGTTTATCCTTTCCTTATTCATTTGTGGGAGTTCTTTATTTTAAATATTAATCTTTTGTCAGCCATATGTATTGCAAATACACATATCTTCTCCTAGGGTTTTAACCTTATGGTGGATTTTATCACACAAAAGTTTTTATTTTTATTTTTTGTTATGTATTTATTTATTTGAGACAGAGTCTCGCTTTGTTGCCCTGGATAGAGTGTTATGGTGTCGTAACTCACAGCAGCCTCCCACTCTTAGGCTTCAGCAATTCTGTTTCCTCAGCCTCCTGAGTAGCTGGAACTACAAGCCTGAATCACCACGCCTGGCTAATTTCTCTATTTTTAGAGAATTATTAGAGATGGGGACAGGGGTAAAGGGGGTGGGGTGTGGTGTGTCACTCTTGCGTACGCTGGTCTTGAACTCCCAAGCTCAATCAATCTATCTGCTTCACCTTGGCCTCCAACAGTGCTAGGATTACAGGCATGAACCACATGCACAGCCCACACAGAAGTTTTTGAATGTTGGATTATTTTGGTCAAATATTGTAAATCAATTTACTTTTGTGTTTTATGTCTTCTCTTTAAAGTATCCATTTCCTCTGCAGCTTGATGACAGTATGCTTCCGTGTTTTCTTATATTGGTATTAGGATTGTGTTATTTAACCTTAAATCTTTAATCCATTCTGGGATTTATTTGCATGTATAGTATAAGAAAGAAATCGAAATTTCGTTTTTCAAGGTGGATAGCTGGGTGCTCCAGCACAACTTATTAATGAGTGCACCCTTTCTCGGCTGTGCTGGGATGTCGCCTCTATCATATACAGAGTCGAGCCTGTCTCCCTGACCCAGCCGCCGGCTCCTGCGCCCACTCCCACCCCATTCTCAGGACTGCGTCTCTGTGGTATACCTTGATGGATGGCGGGACAAGTGCCCTACCTTGTTCTTCTCTCACATAATTACTTCTCATTGCATTTGAACATTTTCTCCTCCCTGTGATTTTTAGAATCAATTTGCCTTTTTCTGTAGAGAAAACCTGTGGCATTTTTATTTCAGTCGCATTGACTATATAGGCTATGATATGGATTTGTATGTAGATTAACTTTGAGTTTTTTCACTTATGAAATGGTATGTTAGTATCTGACACACCATACATTCAGGGATTTTTTGTGTCCTTTAATATTTTATTATTTTCCCTATTAATCACACATCTTTTTTACAGTTAGTTGCTTATTATTTTCTTGTCTTTGTCGCCACTGTGTATAATATCATATTTCTTGATTAATTGTTGCTGGGTTATTAGATCTTTTTTTTCTTTTTTGGCCGGGGCTGGGTTTGAACCCACCACCCTCAGCATATGGGGCTGGTGTCCTACTCCTTGAGCCACAGGCGCCGCCTCAAGGTTTATTAGATCTTTGATGACTTTACATGTCGTTCTTACATCCAGCCACCCTGCTAAACTTTTTAGTTCATAAAAGTTCGTTTGGAAATGTTCTTAAATTTTCTCTGTGAACCACCATATTTTTCCACACATAATAGTATTTTAAGCTCTTCTTTTCCTACCATACTATACCTATTTCTTTTTCTTGTACTATATTAGATAGGATCTCTGGTTTAATGTTGAATAGTAGAGTGATGGTAGGCATCTTTGTCTGTGGATCATGTTTACAATGGTAATAATGCATTTTCTTTTCCCATAAGATTAACATTGAGCATTTTCAAAATAGCTAACCAACGTTATGGTATCCGGTATAGTCAGGTAATGAAATACAGTTATCTATCAGTAAGAGAACTCAATTTTTACCTCATTAGAATTCTTTTCACATTTTATGAATCACCCATCCAGTTACCAGTAATCCAACAGGTAATATATTGAAAAAACTTACTTTAAGGATCACAACTCTAAGCGGTTTTGCTCCATTTGACAGTGCGGGGGTCATAGGAAATATATTATCATTAGAAATACAAATTTAAATATTTTTATATTCTTCAAAAATTCTCATTGTTCCAATTATGTTTGTTCTGCGATTGCTCTTCTACAGACTCCTATGAACCAAGCTTCAACCCGTTCCCACTGCATTTTCACTATTCATTTGTCAAGCAAGGAACCAGGATCTGCAATAGTACGACACGCCAAACTCCATTTGGTTGACTTGGCTGGTTCAGAGCGAGTTGGAAAGACTGGAGTAGGGGGCCAGATTCTAACAGAGGCGAAGTATATCAACTTGTCCCTGCATTACCTAGAGCAGGTAAAATGGGCAGAGTGGGGTGTAACTAGAGCTCCTTTATTGACTACATACTATGCATCATGCACTCTGCTGGCATCTTTGTTTCTTTTCTTTTTTTATTGTGGTAATATATATATATAACATAGAAGTCACCACTGATATCACTATTAAGTATGCAACTCAGTGGAATTAATTACACTGACAAAATTGTGCAACCATTAACACCATCCTTTTCTGAACTTTTTCATAACCCCAAACAGGAACTTTTCATTTCCCTGTACTCTTAGTCCCTAGTAACCTCAATTCTGCTTTCTGTCTCTGTGAATTTGCCTATTCTAGATGTCTCATATAAGTGTAATCATGGAATATTCGTCCCTTTGTGTCTGGCTTTTTTCAATTAGCATATTTTCAAGGTTCACCGTGTTGTAGCAAGTATCAGAATTTCATGTCTGCATCATATCTAACTGTACGTACATGCTACGTGTTGTTTATCCGTTCATCTATTGATGGACACTTGGGTTGTTTTACCTTTTGGCTATTATGCACAACATTGCTGTGAACACTGGCATGTCTCCTAGCATATTTTATACCACTTTTTTGAGACAGTGTCTCATTCTGTTTTCCTGGCTGGACTTCAGTGGCATGATCATAGCTCCCTATAACCTTGTATTCCTGGCAAGGGTTCCTTTTGCTCAGCCTCCTGTGTATATACCATTTTATTTAAACATCACATAGCCCTTCATTGTAGGTATTAGTTAATTACCCCCATCCTAGAAATTTTAAAATTCAAGTCTTCCAAAGGCCTCCCAAGGTTACCCGGATAGGGATTGGGCAAGGATTTGAAGCTAGACTTGCTTGGCTCCAAAGGCTATGTCTTTTTTCATTTCTTATCATATTGCCTTATTGTAAAATTAGTAGTAGGTATGGATACAGGTTATAAATGGCCTCATGTCTGTTTTCAGGCTAGTAGATTAACTATGACAACATAACTTAAAGTTGACCAGTATCACATCAGCTTCTGGCAACTTTGTCTGGTTGGTAATATTGACCCTGCAGTTGTTTTCTTAGCCTGAGCTCACCCTCCCTTCATCTGCCCCAAGTTGACTATAATCCCTCTCATTAGTGCTCTATTTTTAACTTCTGAATTTAACTGAAAAGGCAGAGGTAGCTTATCTGAATTTAACTAAAAAAAATTTCCAGAAAAAAATCTTCACTAAAATGAGTATATTGAATTAGATGATTTCTCAAGTTCTATTTAGCTCTACGGATATCAGTGCTGTCTGTGAGTTGAATGTTAAACATGGCAACTGATTCCCAATTCTGAAAGAGAAAGAAGATCAAAACTGGAGTGGAGAAGTACAGAGTATATCGGTGAGGCAGAGGACTTGATGATGAGTGTGGGGGGCTAGAATATTTGAGAAAAAAACAAAATGAAACTTTTTTGAACTACCTAATTAATCCTTTTGAGACTGATGTCCCACTGTTAAATGCTTTGTAATGGTTATATTGGCTGAAAAAGCAGACTGAGAGAAACCTAAGAGACTCTACCTGACAAAGGTACTTGCAGTTAGGCTCCAACCAGATGAATCCCAGTAATGCAGCACCCGGAGATTAAGGCCTGCTTGACATTCAGATCATTTTAGTGTTTTTGACAAGAGTCAGCATTCCTGAGCTCACTCTTGCTCAAATATTACACACTACTTATACTTAACAGAGCTTTTTACTTAATAGGACACTTACAGAACATTGATATGAAAACATAATGGACTGCATTCAAAGTGCTTTATTTTAAAAAAAAATGTATCCACTTATTTTAGATGGTAGCACTGTCTGCTTTAATTTCTATTGTGTCCATCTGTTCATACAGAATTACATTCATCAGTTGAAACAGACTTCCCACCAATTGTAATCACTCAAGAGAAATGTTCTGTTCCTAGTTCTTTTTTTTTCCTTTATTCTACATAACCTTTGCAAGCTGCTATATGTCATTAAAACTATTCCTCTCTCTACATTTCTTCTCTGCAAAATTATTGTAACATCAGCCTCATGTGAGTAGTCTTGGTGGCCATTGGGCATTTGATTTTTTTATTTTTAATTTATTTATCTAACAAAGAAGGCTGTGCTAGGCCCTGGAGCACAGTGGTGAACCAAATAGAAACAGCCCTTGTTCCAAAGATCTCACGGTCCATTGTAGGGAGATGTGTGTTAAATAAGTAATCATTGAGTATGTGTCTAGAATTTGGGTGAGAGCTGTGATGAGAAAGTAAAAGGAGTGAGGGGAGCTGGTGATGGGCTGACCCCCTGGTGAGGAGGCTGAGGACGTGAGGGTTAAGGACAGTTCTCTGAGAGCCTGGGAGGCTGGGAGGCTGAGCAGGAGAGAGTAAGACATGGACAAGGTTAGCGTGTGTTAGACACGGGAACTATGAGCATTACAGCTCTCATCTCATCCAGGGGGACCGATTAGCTCAGGTCTCAATGACGTTCACATGTCATGGCCCTCGGCTCTCTGAATGTCATTTATCGGTTTCATCTTCACCCACCAATTCACTCTAGTCATTGACTGTTTACACTGGTATACAAGTATCATTGAGTTACACTGGTATACTGTATACTGGTACTGTA